AAAGAATTCTAGTCTGGCTCAGGATGTAAAGGTACGGGCCACGACGGTCGTATGGGCGGACTCGGACCTACCATTGCCCCTCCTTGAGTTGCTTTTGCCGTCCTAGGCAGCGTTGATACTTCTCGACAACGTGCGTCGACTCGCTATCGTTGCAGTCGTGTTCCATTGATGTGGACGAGAACGCTACAGTAGAGGGGTATCGGTCGGTGCTGGCTGCAAGTCTTTTGGGTGAGTATAGGAGAATAGGGGAGTATTGTTGTTTTGCACCGCACTGCACACCTTTCTACTTTATTACGCCTGATCACACTATGTGGTACCCTCCTATTCTCCCAAAACATTAGCGGCCTTCGCACTGGAGCGCGTAGCGCTGCGACGTGAAGTCTGAATGCGCGTCTCAGGACAACTAATCCGTTTTTTTTTCTCTGCGTCTCGCTCTCGAGGCCAGGCACCAGACGGGAGAGCACGCTGCGGTCAGGCACGCAAAGTGACTCACCAACTTAAAGGCAGTTGGCACGATAAATCCCCAAGACGAGTAGGATTAATACGCCTGGCAGGACGGAATTCCGCGACCCTGAGCAGGCGCTGCATAATGCCTTTTCCAAGGGAGGTGCCCTTATAAGGGCCCTATCAAGCCACAACATACCGACCCAAACGCCCGCCCGCCCACAAATGGACGACCGTTCCTGACGCTCTATTCATTCATTTGCTAAGCAAATTATGAAGCGAAGGAAATTATGAAGCGAAGGGATTGGTATGAAAGCAGGGCCGTGATGCCTGCATGGATAATGGATATATGAGTACATAATGCAGCCGTGCCTTTGGCTAGCGGTTACTGCAAGATGCCTGCAGGAACTCTCCAAATTGATTCTCAACACAGTGTGAGAACGATAGGCTCTTTCTTCGCAGGATTTTAACCGTTTCACTCCGTTCTTTCGCCATTTCCCCACTATATAGCGCCCTACTAGAATTTTAGGCCGAGCACCAAATCAATCCGTGCCACTGCCTTTGGAGGCGGATTACTACTATCGCGGCGATGATTGGGGAAAGTCGTTGGCTAGATAGCTGTTTTCAGAAATAGGACCACTTTGTCTGTCTATGGCTTGATGTCTGTAATGCCCTGAATCTGGTCAACCTCGTCGGGGATCCAATACAAGAATGCTACCCAGTAGAGAATATTGAATATCACGTAGAGCGACGGGAAGATGATTTTCGATACATCGTCGACACGGTTGACCACCTGAAATTATTTAGTTCTAATTATTTCTACTTTTCGGGACTTGAGCCCAGTATCCACAGCTTTGAAGAGAGTGAGTGATTTGAAGGGAAAATCCATCCATTTAGCTTCTCGTGGTCAAATACTTCAAACTCACCTTGGCTGGATCTCTCATCTTCAGCTTCCGCCTTGCTTTGGCCGCCTTCACAGCCATCCGGTAGAACACTAAAACAAGTAGAGGGAGTGTCAGCCAACCAATTTTAGGGGGTGGGATATTACATCCATCTTGCAGTGACGTTCACAAATTCGCTAACCTTTCTAGATAGTTGACTCGATGCACCGAAGCGATTCCAAGTTAAAGGCTGTGGGCGTGATTGCCGGAGGTGAGCGCTTGGTGCCAGTGTCATTGGTGGAAGGGCTGCCAGGGAACGGTTGGCCACACCCCACCAATGGCGTCGCGACAACCCCCCCTGCTTCAGCCAATCGTGCCCACTGCCTTTAATATGAACCAGGTCCTTGTGCGTGTACGTCTTTCGTGCCCCCGTCGCAACTTGGATGTTATGCCCCACACCTCAGTTTATAAAGTGCGAAGCTGAAGTTCCTGAGGCGTGAACTCAAAACAGGAATAATAAAGCTCTAGAGGCCCAGTGTACGGTGCGAAAACTGATTTTGTTGCAGATGGTGCGCAAGCTGCAGTGTTTCGTGGGAAAAAAGTATTTTTTTTTCAAATTATGCCCATTGCAGTGCATGAAAGGTGACCCAAAAAAACCTGAACGTTTGTGTCCTTTGCCTGAAAGATAATTATTGTGCGAGGTTTATCGTAAAGCTGCTATATTGTTGTTCTCTAAGGAGAAATTAACCAAGCTTGATGTTTTTTCAATAACCTTGGGGTAATGTGGGTTTAGGACTCCCGCGTCATTCCGGCGCCTCTACAGCGCATCGTCCGAACTCCCTCCCCGGCGTGGCAAGAAATATTGCCGAGACCTAGTGTAAATACAAATGGGGAACTTGTAAAAGATCTGCTAATTGAGCGCTAATGACTCGGAGGGGGCTTTCAGAGGAGTCCCTTGTGCGAAACTAGAGATGCGCGTCCAACTCCCTCACGCCGCCTACTTTGCGCATTTAGAGTGCCCGCAGCACAAACTTTCTTCGGTTGCAAAGCTACCCCCTTTGTGCAAGGAAGTGTCGGTGGAGTGGTGCGGGTATTTCACACTGATCGAAAATCAAAAATGAAAATAGCGTATTTTGCTTCAGTATTAGTGGTCGCTAAAAGCCAGAAGTTTGGTTTATTTGGAGGTTAGGAAATTTGTTCTACATGCACGAAAACATGTGCACGCCCTTCACCGGCTCACTGGGGGAAATAAAATGGGGTTTTTTTTGTTAATTTACTACGTAGTTGCAAACTAATTGCATTTGATGCCTGTGCTCACAGAATTACCTCGTCAAAGGCAGCATGCAACTTCAAAATCGCAGTGGCCTTAAAGTAAGGGCAAGGCGCCTCCCCCCTAACAATAACAATAATTCGCGCGAAGCCGGAAGTGCGTCGTTTATTCAGGCCCCGACAAATCTCGGTACACTTTAGTACCCGAAAAAGGCCGGCAAGGTTGGTCTGGCCTGCGCCGGCCTGTCGAGGATCTGACGCTGTACTGCTGCCGGTTTAACAGATGTGTGAAGCGTACTCTAATCCTAAAATGGAACGGAAGTGGGCACGATTGCTGGACGGACAGTTGTTGCCAACGTCACTGGTGAAAGGACTGCAAGGGAGTGTTGGGCCACACCCCACTTAACCCTTCCAGCAATGACGTTAACGACAACCGCCCGCCTCCAGCCCATCGCACCACACTGGCTTCATAATAAGGGATAGCGATTTTGAAATGCATTTCGTCCTTGCCGGAGACTAGCGAAGAGATGAACTCAAAGTTTTTTGATCGGGCGCAACCAATCAACTCCAAACGGGGAGATCTTTGGCAGAACTTGCATCCAGGCTTTGACCCCTACTGTACCACCTTATCAAGTCGTTATTATCTTAATGTTCACCCGAACATGCAGGTCATATAGGAGCAAATCTTGACCTTTCCAGAATAAAACTAACTTGATGACTGTTTCGCTGCCTTTTTACGAAACAGAAATGAATACCATGGCCGCTCGTCCTCCTCATCGAGCGCCAAATCGTCTACCTGTAAGTCGAAGTAGAGTAAAGCGTAATTGTCTGTGCTCGAAGAGAACACCTTTGTTGTCGCTATAAATTTATTCCAACGTATGTTAAGGAAAGAGTAAAGACGTACTGTACGACTATTCGCGATGCGAATCCTTTGCATGTGTAAAGTGGGCAGGACCGCAGTTGTAGGATTGTACCACTTTAACTACTTGAAAGTGCATGGAAGTAAAGCTTCAAGGATTTGTCACACCTGGTTTGTGTTTTTTATGTCTTTTTTTTCTCCATACGCAATGCGCCACGTCACGCCAATGCAGGGATGTTGCGGGCATGTTGAACCTGGCAAGCGACAACATGTTTGACACAGTGCTGAAGTTGGGGACTGTAGAGATAGTTGCGAGCTTAGCCATACGTGAGAGGGCGCGGACAATTTGTGCGTGTTTTGGCCGTTGGCGGTGCTGCGTGTTCTGCGACCTGCCTTCATTGTACATCTAAGTGAAGAGTGGCGAAGGCATACAAATCGCTTCACTTACCACAGCCCTCCAGCGCCAATTCTGCGCATGTTGACGTGACGAAGGTGGCCCACTCCCAGGGCTATGATGTACCCACCTCGCATGTGGAAAGTGTCTGGACCTTCGCCGAATGAATTGCCAGTGGGCCTTTAATGCGAGCGAATCTCACCTGAACTGTTCACGTTCGGGCTCCCATCCAGTCCAGCAGCTGAACCAGTTCGCAATTCTTTTCCATCTGAAAATTTGGAAAAACCCATTAGATTAAGGTTAAAAGCCCAATATAGAACTTTAACAACTGAAGCCATATGCACTTTCCCCCTAGCAGGGCCTCTTCGAGTCCATTTCTCTCCCTTAACCTCATGTATCCTTCCATCTTCAAATAGTCCCTGCACTTTCACTCATCTACCAACCACCAATTTAAATTTCGTCGGGCGGTGGGGCAAAGGCACATTCCGCACTAATTCTGGTAGGCGGGAAAAGCCATTTCTTCTTTGTCGACGCCCCTCTTTCCCTAATACCCGGTCAAAGAGAAAGAAACCAATCTGATACGAAGACACTACGGAATGCCCTGCCTTCCACCGTATCGACATTGTGGGACGAGTACCTTAAGTGCACCTTATCCTCAAGTAAACCATGACGTGCAAGGTTCCCGCATGGCCGTGAGCCAAAGCGTGCTTCAGGAATCAGTCAGATGTGAAGAAGGGTTCTTGGTGCATTCGAGTAAGTTGCCAGGTGGCCATTTTGATTGGACTTGGGCCGTGGGCCTGCGCGAAACTTTTTTTTCGCAGTTGCGTACTTGGCCGTATCTGTACTTGATATAGTCGCAGTCAATCGGGCGGTGGAGGGGCGGGATGAAGTCGTCTCCGGCTGGTGATCGGTTAGTGATCGATTCAGGAAGAAAACCACGGTTGGGCTTATCCCATCTCTCTTGAAAAACCCGGTCTGGTTGCGACTATATCACTTGTACTTCTTATGATTTGACGGTGAGGAGCAAACCATTAGCACCGTCGATATCAAGCGCGGCTCGTGAAACGACGATACCACTTGCACCGTGGGAAGTGGCGCATGGGTAACCTATTCAGGACGTGCCGGTGATTGATGCATCCCTCAAGGACTTCCGCTAGACCAGACTCACCGCTCGATTCGACTCAAGTCCTTTCAGATCATGCACTTGCTTCCGTATATAGACGATTTGTGCGTAATTAATGACAGCATATTCGACCATAGCGGCGAATACAAATCCGAAGCAGCTCCTTAAATAATTGAAATAATTATTTTGAAAAAGATCAGCAAATATAGCGCTCACAGAATATAGATGTCAAGTGCTGTTGAATGAGACACTTTTGGTAGATCGGTACGCAGTCCAAAACCCAAAGTGGACATCGACAATACGGTCATAATCCCTGAAAACCCGCTTCTTTTTCTAGTATCCTAGTTCTAGTCTTCGAGTCTTGCTCGCTGTGGATGATGGGGCGTGTCAAGGGTGATGGGTTTGGCGCGGCACTTGCCCGTTCCTTTTCTTTTTTCTCTTTCGCAAAGCGACGATACTGTATCATACCGAACGTAACAGACGTTTTCCACCAGTTGTTGTCGCTTATCCTTTTCAGCAACTGGCGTAGAACGGGCTGGTGGCGCGCGAAACCCAGCCTCATTGACATGCTTCATAATCCGTTGCGAGCAAGACTGTAGCTATAGAAGCGCTATAATGCCAAAGTACGACCTAGAGCTACTCGTGCTGGTGAAGCTTCCTTGTTGATCCAGAATGACACCCATGACATCACCACCAAAAGGGTACATGGAGTGTAGATCTGTAGTACATAGTAGCCTTGCTGACGCTGTAGTTTGAAGTAAACTTTCAGGACAGAAATGTCTGAAACGAGTTGAATATTATGTAACATCAACCAAATTCCATGTATCTGACAAAAGCTGTACGACCCAAAGGGGGGGGGGCATTATCAAAGTTCGGTGTTTCTCTTGCAAGTCCCCGTTAACTTTCCTGTTCCACCTCGGTGAGACCTGAAGACTTTTGCCAATGTGGAATAAACTAAGCTTACGGGTCTCCAAAGGATGCATCGTAAGTGATCGATCGGGATCAGCAAAATGCCCGCACCGAGCCGAATATTTTTTTCGCAGTTCACGATGATCGTAATAGAGAGGACCATTGCGCCTTTCTGGCGCATTAGGGGCACTAATGCGCGTCTCCAATGACGGCAAAGAATAGGAGCGTGCCAACGAGGAATACACGATGGTCGACTATTTCCGCCCAAGGGATCAACGTGGGCGTGCCCTTGAACTTAACGTTAGGTTGGCGCAGTAGGTAGAGGTGCTCCCTGGCGCTACATGATGCAGTCTCCCTCAGTAACCCAGGTTGAATCCCTTTCCAGGTCGATTACCTTCCAGATTACAGACTCAGAAGGGTAGAAGGGAGAAGCGGATAAGTGGTGAAGTATTCCGCGAGTGGGAATGATGGCGTGAGCACCTCTACAAAATTCCATTATATAGCTCTTTTTACAACTGGTTACTGCTCCAAATAGACTGCTGGAATCGCCACATGAATCATTTACTAGGGGGGGGGGGGGGGCAAAAAAAGACTCCCGACCGAGTCACATATCAGCAAAGTTTTCGCAGCCCAGACAGAGGACGTGGATACGAGTACCAGGGCGGAAGATACCCAAGATGTTCCTCTATAAGCAGGAGCTGGCTCTCGCCCATCACCTTCATGTACACCAAAATATGAAGTCATCTCCAGTCGCAGCCTGACTGGAGAAGACCTTTGGAATTCATGTCACCTCCAAACAGCTGCGAAACTTCTAGTGTGGAGTCACCCATGGATAGCTACCTGGAGACCAGTACTCTCGATCTGGAAGACCTCCATCATCGAGCAGCTCCGACAACGTCGCTACGGTCCAGGACATCATCTTCACCTCAGTCGCCAAGGCGCCAGTTGATGGTGGGGACCGGACGTACCTGGAATGGAGAGACCATATTTTCTTCGTGGGCCCCGGACTGAAGGTGAGCGCTGGCGGTTACATCGAGCAACTCGAAGAAGAATATCCTCTCCACATGTCGTCGCCCGTACCTTCTTGGAAACTTTGTACTGCTACAGGATTGGGTGACACCACATGGAATCAAAGGGCGTTGGAAAACTCTTGCCTACTTGGAATGGAAGGGCGTTGAGTACCTGAAGAAGGTGGAATATCTAAGCAGGTCACCTGACCTAAACCCCCTCAATTACCTGGTTCGGCGGAGTTCAATAGGGTGGTCTACAGTGGCGGAGAAATCAACGATCTCGCTGAACTCAGGCACCCGGTCGCGTGGCAGAATCTCTCGATGGCGCTCCTCCAGAAGGCTGTGGCGGAGTATCATGATAGTATTTGATATGCTCTTTAATATGGTGGTAGAAATGTCCGATAAGAGTTTAATAAAGTGTTAACTTATAAAAGTCTTTTTTTCGCCGCCCCCCCCCCTTGTACATAGCAGGTCCTTTAATGTACTGCCCAGGACCCATGAGAGGGTGTTGAGAATTTCTAAATGAATATATCGGTATTTTGCGGGTCAGCATTGAATTCTGTGTATATTTTCATCACAACCGCCTTCTTTTCTCAAGTCTGGACCTCTAAAATGTAGCTCAGGCCTGTCTCAGAAGGAAAAGCATACCAACTAAAAGGAAGGCGCGATTTTTCCTGTTTTCGCTCACATGGTCAACGTGGATAATAGCTTCAAGGGTTTCTATGATCACTGGAGTAATGACATGATGTAATTGGGTTTAGGACATAATATGTAATTCAGAGGTCACAAAGCTGTTAAAATATTTGGGCGGAACAGTTTTTGGATTTCTTTATAGGGTAATGCTGTAGCCGTGACCAAGATGATATAACAGTTTTATTGGCTAACGTTTCGGCCTTATCGCCTTCGTCAGAGCCTGGAAAAAAGTCAAAAATCAAAGTGAAACTACCCTCGGATCATTTCAAACCTCAGATAAGCTAGTCCCAGACCAGAAGGATCCAGAAACCTGTCATAGGTCACAACCACAAAACGACTCACCTTGAATGTACGGCCGGTTTTTGCTTGAGACCACCGCTAAACTGACTCCCCGTGGGTGGCTTCAGCTGACCTGGCCCCTCGACTCGAAGCCGATGGCAATTGAAGCCCACACAGGTCAGCAAACGGGGCGAGCTCGTTTGTGATGGCCAGGCATTCGTCCTTTCTGTTCATTTTGGGATTTTTAGCGCTAATCCAAAACGCTTCCAAAGTTTTGCGCGCCGAAGTCTGTGGTTCTCGCATCAAAATCCTAACCGTCACCTCAAACTCCACGCCTCCATGGCACTGAACCCGATGACTACCCAGGGGGTCTCTGGCCTAGATCGCCTTAGACCATCTAGGTGCTCCTTTACCCTGGAGCACAGGGGTCGTCCAGTCTCCCCGATGTACTCATCCCACAACTCGTGCATGACATCAGGTAGATCACACCTGAGGCCATGCAGTCCCCCTCCCGCCCAGAAGGACATGTGACACAATGTGGGGTTGGGCAGTAGCGATCATACCCGCGGTTGCGGATCAGCTGCTGCTTGAGGCTCGCAGGAGGGATCTCGACCAACCGAACCATGTTGTCGAGACCACACCTGCGCAAAGACGATCTCACAGCAGCGCTGATCGCATCACTTACGAAGGGTAAGCAAAATGGTACCTTCTCCCAACCCTCGGTCACAGGACTTTGTTGGCTCCTAGTGGGTGGTCCAGGGGGCATTTGCCTTTTGGGGGTAGCCATTGGAGAGGGTTATTTTCCGAGCTAACTCCAGGGACTCTTCTCTTTCCTTCTCACCTGATGAGACCATTTTGGCTGTCCTGAACATGTTCCTGTTGATAGCCCGTTTGGTCCCCAGAGGATGCGCCGACCGGAAATGGACTAAGATGTTCTTGCTGGTGGGTTTTCGGTACCACTTGGTCCGATAGAACCCGCAAGCTGGATCTGCACGTTGAGGAATGAGAGCCAACTGTTAGAAGGCTTCTCCCTCGTAAACCGAATATTCTCAGCTTGGCTATTAAGGAGGTCGAAGCACGAGTCCATTTCCCTCTCCGTGGTGCAGACGATGAGACAGTCGTCTATGTAGCGTTTGTACAAAGATGGGTCGGCGATCCAGTAACGGTTTCTCTATCTTGGACATGTAGGCAATCGCTAGGACTGGTGCCAGCCGCTGACCCATGGCCAAACCTCTGAGCTGCCTGTAGTATTGACCGGCCCACCTAAAAATGGAACAATCGAGACACTCTTTAACAAGTGTCATTATGTGGGCTGTCGACAGGCCATACATTGATCTGTATCGAGATCATCACAAACGAGCTCGCCCCGTTTGCTGACCTGTGTGGGCTTCAATTGCCATCGGCTTCGAGTCGAGGGGCCAGGTCAGCTGAAGCCACCCACGGGGAGTCAGTTTAGCGGTGGTCTCAAGCAAAAACCGGCCGTACATTTAAGGTGAGTCGTTTTGTGGTTATGACCTATCACAGGTTTCTGGATCCTTCTGGTCTGGGACTAGCTTATCTGAGGTTTGAAATGATTTCCGAGGGTAGTTTCACTTTGACTTTTTTCCAGGCTCTGACGAAGGCGATAAGGCCGAAACGTTAGCCAATAAAACTGTTATATCATCTTGGTCACGGCTACAGCAATACCCTAGAAAGAACTTCAAAGTATGCCAAGATTCATCGAGGGTCGAACCTGGACACTTATGGAAGTCTTTGGATTTTTTTTTGAGAAGAATCGAGTGCATAGCGCATTATTCTAATTGGTACGACTTCCAAATTCAACTCACTTCGATGAGTTAATCGATGATCGGAATAATTGTGCTCGGATTTGATCAGACCAAGGATTTTGTACTGTGAAAGCATATTGCCCATTTTAGCGTCCAGATCCACATCTTTCCAATAATAGACGAGATCATTGGTAAAATACCCCAAAGAGCCGATTTCTATGGGGCACGCCTAAAAATCAATCATTTAGTAAAAAGGCGAATAGAAGTCAAAATATGTGCGGCGCTGTGCGCCTCGATATGAGCCACTCTCCAGGCAGGGTTAAGCCGCGTCATGTCTGTTGGTCTGCGTACTCTATTAGAGACAGCATGACATCTTTTAACATGGCGTAGTGTAAGTCACTACATGTTATCTTCTCACTTAGACAGCATGATCTGGTTTTGTCAGAACACAACGGGATTGAAAAGTGTTACCATGTGCCCCTCCTGAGGCACACAGCGCTTTATTAGCTAATAAAACATATTTCACAACGCAAAGATATACCGAAAGACGGCGCAGAAATCCATAGCGAGCATTGCGGCGTAATTCTTTCGCGCGCGACAAGCGTCGGGAACAAAGGTTTCACGTCCATGCAGCCTAACAGTCGCGACTGGCGTCTCCCTTGAACTTCACTGAAGATATCAGGCTTTCTTGCGCCAAACGAATGTGGTATGGGCGATCCGAAAATCAAATTTCCCGTGGTATTTCAGAAGGAAAGCTCGACTGGAGCTTGAAAATCCTTTGCAGTTCTTGTAAATTCTGGTGCCTAGCAGTTTTATCAGCGACTTGATAAATAGGATCGTTGATCTTCCCACACCCCCTATCATACTTGCTCGCTAGGGATAGGGAGGGAGGATCGTATTTGGTCGGAGGGGACGTATCTCCCACCGAACACGACCTCTGCCTTATTGCCGGCACCTTAAATACTACTATAGAACTACCATATTAGAAATTCGATTTCGATACTTGACTGATGTCCCCCCCCCCCCACATCAGCCACCGACGGCATGTGTTTCTCAATTTCTCGGGAGAGAGTGGCTGATCCTTTTTTGGAAAAAAATGTGAAAATTGGTTGGGAAGAGGGGAATTTGCGAAGATGTAGAGAAAGGGGGAGGCGTAATGACACCATTATTTCACCCATCCCGCTGCTGCAATAAATGTATTTCCTTTGAAGAATGTCAGTGGGTGGAATCAATTCCAGTTCCAATTTGGATAACTCCAACGGCGCAAAGTTGAAAAAAATTTCTCAGGCGGCAAGATTGAATACCTCATTCAGTTTGCTTTGAGCAATGACCCCAGGGGTTTTGATGTGACACATTTTTCAGATGGCCTGGTTCGAGAAAGACAACATATTATTGGGGCGACTTGTGCAGGATGAATGCTCCTTACAACAAAACGCGGAACTTTGGACGGAAAAAGTGCTCTACAGAATCTCACGTTGCGTAAAGTGAGTCAAACGTGTGAAAATTAGATATTCTAAACATGCATGTTTGCTTTGTTACCCTTGCCATCGGACAACTCCGGCGGCGCAGTTCGGCAACGGGGGGGGGGCATTTTGCACTTCCGCTGCTCCGCTGGTTCCGGTTTACAAGTCTCACTATGGTGAAACCTGTGTACTCTTGTGAAGCTGGAACTCGTCCGGCCATTACTGTAAAACCTGTCAACCCTTGTGAGCTCCCGAAATCGCTACGTAGATCGTCGACACGTCGATGGGAACTAAGAAAACTGCAAAATGCCCCCCCCCCCCTTTCGGCGAACTGCCCTCAACTCCGGTTTTAATGCTGAAATCGATTAATCAGCCAATCACTCTGTCTATCGATCGAAAACTCTCACCTGAACATCCATAGGGAACTTCCTCAAGAACATGAGACATTTCGTCTTTATAGTTAATCTGAATGATTGTACATTTCTGCGTGATCGGATCTTTACTATGAAGACATTCTCGAAATTTTGCAATTATCTTCCGCTCAAAGAGCATTCTACGCTGATCGTGTGGGTGGAGACATGGGCGGAGCAACCCCACTCCCACTTAGGCGCGCAGTACTCGAACTGTGATTCGCTGTTTCAACTTTTTCGTTTTTTTTTCACCTTTTCATGTTGAGACGCTAGAAAGGACCACTGAAGACGCAATGGTTGGTGTCGCCGCCCATACGATCATCGTGGACTATGCCTCAGAGATTCACGAAGCTAGAAGAAGAACCCACCTCTGCGAGACGTGCACCTGTCCATCTGACCTTACTCGGAAAAGAATATTTGGTACGGTAAGTGTGTGTAGATAAGACTTACGTCCGTTTCGAATGTAAGTGTCGGGTACCTGAATGAGGAAACGTCATGGTCTTTACAAACTATGGAGAGAGAGAAAGAGACAGACAGAGAGAGACAGAGAGAGAGAGAGAGAGAGAGAGAGATCGGGGCGTGGATTGAAGCACTTCCAGGGCGGCCTTTCCATCAATGATGCCAGAGAGGGTCCAAGAAATCTTTCTTATTTCTGATTTTCCCGTTTCACATCACCCACCCCACTACGAAAATCCCAACAGAAATGAAACGCTGCCGAAAAGACAATGTTTGTTCCTTCTCTTACCCATATATCCTTCAGCATTTTGCTAGCTAGTGGCATCACCGGTTTATCCGGATTAATAGGAGTGAACGCAAGTCGTCGGTCGAGCCATTTTTGTCGAAAGTAGCAGTCAAGAGAGAATTCCTGTAAAAAAATGTATATTTTTATCACAATAAGCAGCAAAATGCTAGTAGGTGAAGCATCGAAAAGCGATGCTGCTAATACATGCAAGAGCCGTATTCCACCAAAGCCAGCGGAATCTTCCTTCTCTTC